GCGAGTTTTGGTTGAAGCTGATGATTCTATGGGACGTACACATAAAGTAGTCGGTGAGGACGATGCATCTGATTTGTGTATTTCCTTGGATCCAAAGAGACTTTTAACTGCGGCTCGTTCAGCAATTGGTGAATTCTTGAGAAAATTACAATATTACAAAGGTAAAGCGAATGCTATGTATGGATATGCTTTCTTCCAACACTATAGTCAACTACTTCCAAAATACTTGACTGATTTGTTCTGGCATAAATGGCTACGTGGATATCTTCTGATGCTGCAAACAAGATCTAAGTGGTTGGATATAAAGCACACCCTACAACCTGATGATCTCGCCTTAGTTAACAGTGCTGACACACAGAGAGGTCTCTGGCGAAAGGCTATAGTTAAGCAGATGTACTATGACCAAGATGGCCACGTCAAGACACTGTGTTTGAAAACTTCAACTCAAGAAGTGGAACAAGATATAAGAAGCGTACGAAAGGTCAACGTGGTGATCGTTCGCGAGGAGTCTTAAATGCGACAGATAGATAGACTATATGATAGACAGTTAATCAATATGATGTGACCTTCTTGTCGCGATTATTGGTCAATTTATTGTAACTCTCACCACGTGATGTTGACCTTGAATGTTCTTTTTTGTCTGTCACTTTATTTGTGTATACATGTAATCAATTGACTGTTCATTTTGTCCGTACCCTCAATACTGTTCGAAACAGATAAAGTTAAAGTCAAGTCATTCTGTTTTAACCATAGTTAAGCCCAGACTCTGTGTCGTCATTATTGAGGAAGGACTAAATCTGTAGGACAAAAATAGTACTACAATCAGTATCATCGATTTTGCAAGGGTCATAGGAACCAATGGCTTCATTTAACTTTCGTTTACATCTGAAACTGAAATTAACAGTCTGACATTTGGAAGGATTAAGTTTGAGGCCGTTAGACGAAGACCATTTGCTAATTTCTGATAGAAAGTTGTTAATCTTAATGCAGTCAAGCTGGGAGTTAACAGGCATTGAAATAGTTAGATCATCGGCATACTTAACAAAGTTCATTTCATCGGAGTGAGGCAAGTCATGCAAGAATAAAGAAAACAGAAAAGGAGAAAGGACAGCGCCTTGAGGGACACCAGCCTTAGTAAGCAATGAAGTGGACGACTTTCCCTGACATACAGTGTATTGCTTTCTTCCTGAGAAATAAGAATGGAGCCATTTGACAACCCAACAGTCAGTTTGAGTTTCAGCAAGCTTGTTTAGTAAAATGTCCCTAGGTACTGAGTCGAAAGCAGATGTATAATCTAGAAAGGTGCAGCGAACAAATTTAGCCCCCTTGTCTAAACTGGAGACAATGTTATGATACAGGACTGCAGCTGCGTCCAAAGTACTTCTACTGTGTTTGTAGGCGAATTGTTTGGGATCATTAAAGGCTTTAAGTGAAGGTTGAAGATTAAGTAAGAGCAACTTTTCCATAGCTTTCAGAAAAGAGGAAGTAATAGCAATGGGTCTGAATTTAAAACATGTCGCAGTAGACGACTTAGGAATAGGTACAATTTTAATGTCCTTCCAAGCGGCTGGCACGACATTTTTGGAAAAAGATTCGTTAAATATGTCCATGAGAGGATAACACAGGATATCTGCACAATTTTTAAGAATAACACTAGGCAAACCATCTGGACCCAGGCTACAAGAAGGGTTCATAGACTGGAGACATTTTAGAACATCATTTGTAGTAAATCCAGGGAAGCAGGTTTCATTAATACTTGTAACACTAGAAAGTTTGGCATTCGTGGGAGAATGTATGAAGGACTTGTTTAGTTTGGGAACATCAAGGGAACAAGGAACACTGTTCATCTGCGTACCACCAGTAATTTCTTTGAAAAGTTTCCATATATTAGACGCATTTTTACAGGATATGAACTTTTGGTTGTAAATTGAATTCAATCTGTGCATTTCAGATTTTATTAGGATGTTAATTCTTTTCAAACCAGCATTATCCTTCATTTTATATAACTTTTCTTTTTGTCTGCGAAGCTTTTTAAGTTGAGGGGAGGAGAAACGGTCAAATCTGATGAAGAGCATTTCTCTGGGACAACAGGTGTCAACACAAAATTTGAGATAACTTGTAATATTAGAGATTGTGTCATCAAGAGAGTCTTTTTTAAACAGGTCCCGCCTTGTATTTTTGTGCATGCTTCTGAGTTTCTGAACATTTTCCTTAGAGTAACATCCATGTACAGTTTTCTTGGAAACGTGTGAAAAAGTTCTCTTGTGTAATTTTCCATAAATTTTAGGTAAAACCCGTACAATACAATGATCTGAGTTAAGCAGTGGAGCTCTTTTACGAGCCTCGTATTTTCGGGAGTGATATATAAATACAAGATGAGGGGAATTATCTAGTCTGGTGGGAAAGTTAACAACATTTTCATGACCTATCACTGTGAGAAAGCTGCAGTCACATGAATTAAAATCACCTGTCACTATGGGCAGCGAGTTACCAAAAGAGGCGGCAGCGAAAATAGTGAATTCATCGGCAAGCATGGATAATTCTGAAGTGCTACAACAAGGTGTGATATAAATATTCGTGAAATAAATGAATTTGTATTTAGATATGTGTTTAGGTCGACATTTGACAGTTATAGAGTCAATGTTATCATTTGAGAATTTAAAACAGACGTTGTTGGCAACATACCACTGAGAATCGATGAAAGTAGCAACACCGCCGCCTCACTTCTTCCTTGAACTACTTCGGTCGTGTCTTTACATATTGAAACCATTTAGTAAGATTAAATTATCATCATATGAGTCGTGTAGCCAAGTTTGCTGAAGCGTTATTACACCTGTATTACGATAAATATTTGAATATAATAGAGAATCCAAGTGATTAATCTTGTTCGATAATGACCTGCAATTAGTGCTCATAATCACAGGAACAGTCATCTGATGCATTGGAGTACACTTTAAAGATCTTTGCCACCCACCATGATGCTTTTTCTTAAGGTTATTATATACTCGTAAATTATCCGGTTGAAAACATTTTAAATAATCGCGAGAGTAAGCAACACGTTTCGGACACATAATTGAATAATTAAAACAAAAGTCCAAGAAATCAGATGCAATATAAGTGACGGAAAATTTTGGTAGCCCAAGTTTTAAGCAGGCCGCCGTGTTTTTTCAAAATCCCTAGCGCCCCCGGGTGGGCACGAATCACCAACCTCTCGGTTAACAGCCGAAGGGACAATCAATAAAGAACTCTGGAGGAAAATCAGCCAAGGATCTATTTTCTAGCATATATGCAGAATGGGACGCAGGTCTTCTGAACAGACACTGGGTCGGCCGTTAAATAGCACATATACGCTGGGCTTTCAAGTACAGACTGAAGAGCGTGACATCCTGTCGTCAGAAGGATGGAATGAAGATGATTATCTGAATGTGAAATTGAAGCATATGAGAAGTCATGTAGTCAACAACACAACACCACGCAACAGTGTGAAGACCATGGAATAAGAATTAACCATGAACAAAGACAAGATATAAAGTTAGAGAAAGGAATGATATCTTACTGTGATGATGTTCATTTCAGGAGCAAAGGACAATAATTTGGAAACGAATATCAGTATTGATATAAATGACTCGGGATGGATTTTCATACCAATCATTCTGCTACACGCCGCAGTTACCTGTACCGGAAGAATAAATTTCGGCCTAAGCATCAAATGAAGTACTAGAGTCTTTTCACTACACACCCATTTATAAATACGGATAAACCCATATGTATGGTTTGTTCGTTTCGTTTGAACCATGTGGTCCTAGTGTTTCTTTTATTAACGCCTGTGAGGCTCCGCCGATGAGCAGGGATGATGCATTAAAATAATGGCATGCATGTTTCATTTTTCAGTTCTGCACACACTTTCTCGATGTGAACCAGAGAACATTTGGCTAACAAATTCAGAAAAACTACTGGACTGCCAAAAATACTAAGCGTATTTCTGTTACTGCTGAGCAGTGGTACGAGCTCGACTAACTATCAAAACAGAGTGTTAAATGGTTTGGATGCTTGATCGCGCACCTTCAGCTTAACCAGTCAACTTGAGCGGTGGATTTTGGCACCTAATATTAGCTAATCATGAAGGCCGATATTTTTGTGGGGTTGTGTAAATCACAGCGTAAATCAACACCTCAAATCTAGTTGTCTCAAATTTTCCGAATACGTCGAGATGCACGGAGAATGAGAAGGGATATATGTTATATGGAAGATGTGACCAAAGGACTGGATTTCTAAGCATCTGATTACTGAGAATACATTACTTTTGTTTATTAAGACTGTAACATACTTCTGTTTTGAATTCGATAAAAAATGTTTAGTTTGGTCACAAGTAAGCGGTGAAGCTATAGGGTGTTGATCTATTAGTAGCATTTATCCCTACCTAGGTACCATTTAGCAGGACCTGTTGGACTATAAACTGTCTGATATGTAGTTAGGGAATAAGCGGTAGCGTTATGCACGTGTTTCCACTAACTTTCACCTGAAAATATGAAGTACATCATCCTGTAGCAGTATTTCATGTTTTTTAATACATTTTATAGCCTGAGATGTTGACAATAAAGTATCCCTTTAGGATCTACTAAAGGCTGTCATGCGTAAATTTACCAAAACTTTGAATATTTAGCTTTTTACCTTAGGAAATAGGACAATGTGATCATGGCGTCTTACATATTGGAACATTGAAGACTCAATAATGATCGCTTTGAGAGATGTTTGTCAAAAGCTAACAACCCTTAAGTATTTAATTATCTTTCGAACTTCAATTGTCTTTCCTTATGTTCAATCTTCAGACTGGTAACTCTATTCGAACATAAAGGCTGACTTTGTTTATATCGTATGTTCAACCATTGGTAGTAGGATTTCGGTTGCATACTGATTTGGGTGTGCTGTAACTAGTACGGTGACTGTTTCTTTTTGAAGTAGGAGATGTTCTTGAGTGATTTCTGATTATTTCCCCCACGATGTATGGCAAAAACAAATCTGTCGGTATTCCCTCCGATGCCCAGTCGAAAGAAAAGTGCGTGTGTATTTCATGCTATATGACTGTAGATTGGCTGTATATGTTTATGAATACCTTGTGCATATTGGTGCACAGAAGACTGCCAACTCTTTCCTTCAAGAGGCAAGTTAATTTGTTGTAATTTTTCTTTTAAAGATTCGATGGGATAAGTCAATAAGTGTTGGTGAACCACCTGGATTCTTACATTCTTGGTGGAGGTAAGTTGCTGTCTCACGTATCACTTCGCTTAGCGTATTTTGGGACCTTTATAGCGCCGCCCCTGAAAGACGGGACACGCATGACTATTCTAGCGAAGCGAAAGCATTCCACGATTATGTATGTTATGGTATTTTTTCTACAATTTCAATATTAGGGTTTTGTAAATTCTGGTTACCCGAATGGATTACCACACGTATGTTTACTATTTCAGTGTTGCTTTTTATTCATTATAATTTGACATTTTCCCAGTATATTTTGGTTTGTGGTCCCAAATGTATTAGTTTCTGTAAAGATAACCATTTGAGTTGTGTCGTAGACTTTCAGTTCATTCAAAAGTAGTTTAATTAAAATAAATTCAATAGTCAGTGTGATTAGCACTGAGTCATGTCAAAGTCATGACGACTAGACAATCCAGTTACTGAATAGTGGGTGTCATGCAGCCTCCTATCTGGATTATATGTTAGCAGTCAGTTTAAACTGATTGGTTCCTAACGTCAGCCAGGTGACAGTCGTATTTGTGTTTGCTTCAAAACTGACACTCACTTCATGAATCCTTAGAATTGTTACGTTCCCAGTATTAGACAGCAAAGGTAAGCGTCAAGTTGTCAAGGCCAAACTCTCGATCACTAATGTGCCATTATTCTCTTAAGAAATGGTTTGTAAATAAATTCATCCAGTTTCAATTATGCTTTGTATTATTTCCGGTCAACCTTCATTCACTGATAAGGCTTAGGCTGACAAAGCTTGTGAATGCTGATTAAATTAGGTCAGCTTCAAGAGAATTAAAGAGTTGGTTGTTTTTAATTTGAAATCTGGTATTACAGTTCTGATTACGATGTAAATTCATTGGCGTAATGTAAATTGCTATGACAGTAGCAACCCCCTATGTTCTTATTCGGTGAGGACAGTTTTTCTACGGTACCTTACGTAAGGCTTCAAGGTTTTCATCCTCTGGCTCTATTAGTAAAACGAAGGTGTGATATGTTGCGGTGATAACCTGAATCACTGCCACAATATTTTAAATGCATCCAGAAACTGCGTCAAGAACAATTCTGTACAGATATCACCAAGTCTGCTTTGCAGTTATGATTATTGATTTGGTCCTATGATGATTCATCATGGAGACAATAGTGTTTTCAGACATGCTTTAAATCACTTCGAATTATCATTCACATATAAGTCGTAAGTATTGCACGGTTTTCCAAGTGAAACATACACATTCTTGGACATAACAACCAGCAGAATCAAGCAATTGCAAATAAAGTCTCTAGGTCGTTTGCTTGGCGTGCACTAAAACAGAATTAGGCTACTGTAATGAAGTTCACAGTAATACCATATCTTCTTGAAATTCAGGGACAGTCGGCTTGACGAACCAGGAAAAGAAGTGCATTGGCACTGTTACTTAGTGTTACTGCCATTCTGAGCGTAATGGTTGCGCACCTGCTCACATAGAAGTCGGTTGTTGCTCAATATCTGTCGCGTGCACGGCACCAAACAGGAGTCTTCATTTTCTGCATCCCCACGTACTTTCTCTGCATACATTTGTAAATACCAGTTTGTTCGTATCTTTTTCCCTGGGTTAAATATACGTTCAACCGAAAGTGCCGACACAATATGACTGTGATGTCCGAGGTGATGTGGTTAGATTTTAGACGTGAAAAATTTGAGTTTACTGAAGGGTTGAAAACACCAGTGACTATTCTGTTTTATTCAGATAATATTCGTCCTATTTGGGTGATTTTGATGTTTTTGATGGAACATTGAGGTTATACGATACTGAATTAGTGGAAATCATTTAAAGAAAAACAAGTAGGTAGACAACATCAGAAAATTGTAAAATATTGTATATGGTCTCGTTTTACTACCCATTTTATGTATTTATGTTAAGCTCACTAATGTATACCATAGTTAATCGTTATTTGTCGATTTGTGTTCTTGAGTTATTTATGGTTCCAGTACAAAATATCCTCTTGTTAGACTGACCTACTCTTATGTGGCATCCACATGAATTAATAAATATTTAAAATGTTGAGCAAGAGAACGAGACGCAAAGCATAAGTGAGCTACTTAGGTGCAATCATTCCTAACTAGGATATCGCATTTTCTGAATCATCCAGAACACCAACTTCCACGTGATGACTGTGTCACATAAGTACTAGAAGTTTCCCAAGTAGTAGAGAATTTTTTTGATTGGACTAGATCAGCATATCAGTAAGCTAAGTGAAAATGTAACAGTTGAGCTTTACAGTTAATCGACTTAAAAGGGGTGAATGGTTCATCATGAGTCTAAGCAGATAAGCGATTGGTATCACTTCCAGTCGGATGATGCCTTCAGAAAGACTCATTTAACCAGAAGACAGCTAAAGTTAACCTCCTAAGCCGTATGAATACATTCAAGGTTAGCACTTCAGACAGTCCCAGTCATTAAATGGTCTCATCTTAAGCCGCTGGGAATCGTATAGATCATATGTGAAACGGCTGCTAGGTTTATGGTACTTTTGGATTGTGGTAATTTCCTATTTAAATCTTGATATGAATGAAATTATTTCTGGCAGTTTTCAGTTCAGTCGAGGGTTCTCCTAAATGAACTAATAAGTTAGAATTACGCATTCTTTGTTACAAATTTCAAGAATAGTTGGAGCTGTTTCATTTTTAATGCAACAGGTATTTAGTCTTGAAGTTCCTAAATTGACTTTTCATTTTCTAAAGTTAATTTTACATTCATATTTTTGTTTGTTTCTTATGCTCATCCGTGTTATCTTATATTCCTGTTATTGTAGCCATTGGCAGGGGAATGAATATTTAACTGTCATCATTATATATATTTCTCATTCCTACAGCCTAATCATCCTGTAATGTCTGGCCCTGCGGGTGTTAGCGGTCCTGGTGGTGCTGGGCCAGGCATGCCTCCTCCTCTTGGGCCACCGGGTCCTGACCCAGTATCAATGAGACAAAGGCCTTCTGGACCACCTTTAATGCCAGGTAGTGGCTTGCAGAATGCTGGACCTGGGCTTCAAGGACCTTCTCCGCATCACCCATCGGTACGTTTTCATCAGCCTGGAGCTGGCGGATATCCAGGGATTCCTGTTGGTGGTGGTATGATGCCACCTCATGCAAATTTGCTACCGGGGTCTGGTCCGCCACATCCCATGCACGGAAATCCTATGATGCCCCATCATCACCATCCTTCTGGAGCAATTGTAGGGCATCCTCGCCCTAGATGGATCGGTCCGTCCATTCCGCAACAACAAGCGGGTGGTCCTCCTTGCCCTCCTCAGCAAGGTGGAGGGCCACCTGTCTGTTCGGGATCAGCGGGACCAAATTCAGTCTCATCAGCCGGACCTGGTAGTGTTGGTCCAGGTTCTTGCGGTGGTAGTGGGATCGTTCCTAGTCCTGGTCATCCCGGCACACCAACTCAACACGCTCCCCATCTTGCTGCACCTAGTCCAATCAACAATCAGGTAAGCATTTTGTGTTGTATAATGATATTCACTGTGAGTGTGCCTATTCGTCTGACAATGTCCCACAAGACTTTAATATTGCAATTGTTCAAGGCATACATAATTGTGTGAAGTGATTTATCAAAGCTTTTGAGAATGGTGTTGAACTTCCTTGAGTGAATTTCGCATGTTTTCATTGTTGTTTCCATCATAGTAGGAATACGATTATATGTATATAATGCGTAATTTGAAATACATAATACTGTCTTGTATTTTGCAGAGTTATATCCATACGACTTAGTTCACGTAGATCATTTTTGAAGTTGTAAGAAGTCTGCATCTTTTCAATCGCCGAATTATTTTGTGTCCTTTTTGAGGGTTAAAGTCTACATAGTTTTAAGAGAGTGAAATTGAATATCGTTTGTACATGAACTGGGGAAAGTTCCGATTCTGTTAAGCAGACGTTAACAGATATCTTTTCACCAGATATTTTTATGGTTAACTTCATAAACTATTCTTGTTTTTCTAAAATGATTTATCAAATTTACCGTATTTATCCTGCTTTATTTTTTCAATTGCAGTCTAATGATCACCAACCACCTGGAAGTGGGATGTCGAGTCATCCGCATCATCCTACACCTCCGCATTATATTGGGGGTCAACCACCACCACAACAGCAAACTCCACCAACCTCAAACTCTTGTATCCCTCCAGAATATGCCACACGACCTTCACCGCATCTCGTTTTTAGCGGTGGTGGGCCTGGTTCTACTCCTGATAATGGTATGTTTGGTGCTGGTCCAGGTTGCAGTGACTCGGGAATGCTTAATGGTTCGGTAGGCCCTCCTCGAAGTAGTGGAATGATGCCGCCGCCTCCTCCAGACTATTCTAGTGGCATGCCGTCTTCTGCATCAAATCCATACCCACCCGGTTCAGATCTCAAAGCCTCACCACTACACGGTGGTCCTGGAATGGGGTGTGATATGATGAGTCCAGCAGGTGGTCCTCCCCCATTAATGCCATCAGATTATCCTCCTGGTAACGGTCCAGGAGGCAATGGACCTGGACAAGGTAACAGTGGTTTTCCTGGTGGCCCCGGGGACTCTGTGATGATGATGCCTCCTCCACAACAACAAGGAAATGTCTTGCAGCAACAACATATGGGTAGTGGACCTCAAGGCCAAGCTCCTCCACCTCCTCCTCAATATGTTCCTTCTGGTGCGCAGCACTCAGGGTCAAGTGGGGGTCCACCGTCCTCAATGCAGTCAGTTTGTGGCGGTTCAAATCCTAGTCCAGCTGGTGGTCCAGGATCCGTGCAATTTCCGGTAAACTGTGTTGATAATTATTCCTTTTTTTTCTATAGTTTCCGATTATATAAGTGAAATGCACCCACTTAACAACAAATCCCTGGCATAGATCTTATCAGACTAGCTAATTTGCTTTTAATCGTTCAGTTTGGTTAACCAGACCATCATTAGTCAGTACTCCATTGTTCCATAGTAAATGGTTGCGTACTTGTTTATGGAGTTGTTTTATTGTTACTATTGCTATTGTTACCACCATTAATTTCTTTGAAGTATTTTAATTACTTTTCGCCAATGTATTCAGGTAAAGAGAGGAAAATAATAATTGCATGGCAATGTATTGTACTTGAAATTCAGTGTGCAAATTTTTAAATTTATACTTGAGAAGAATTTACCAGGTCATAATAAATTATTTAAAGTTCTATGCAAGATAAATTAAAGACACGTTATTCCATTTAAATTTATCAGTCCTCTTAAACTATCAGTTGTTAGACAGTAGACTATACCAGTAAATGATCAGAGGACGTCCATTTGTTGGCTCTAGAGGGTACGTGGCAGTTTACTAACAAAAATAATACTAATGAAATGTCAGTATAGAATGCCTATATTATAACGGCTGAATGGTGTGGAAAATTCAGGCAAATGATTACAGTAGATAATAGGCTTATGTGTATTAGCAGAAATTTAAGCACTATTTTCCGTAAGAAGACAAGGTATTGTTTTCATGTTGGATGCTTAACATGTGTTGCAATCGTGTATTTTTTCGTTTTAATATTGCACACACAATTCCCTTCATGACCGCGAATGCGCAAAAAATCTCTAATCCTGTTTGCTATTGAGAACAATCTTCCTTATATTATATCTTTTTAAATTTCAGCAAGAATACTCGTTTAGTCAGATGTCCTAAGAAAATCAAATCATGTGCAACTACCCTATCATCGAATGTCTTTTGCTGCATAATAAGCAGTTCTTATATGTTAGTGTGTCTCAGTACCACTCCGTTTATCTCGATACGTGCATGTCAGTTTGCAAAACTTAGATTCGAGTGGACTTTTTCATGAATCCCATAATTGTATCGTTTGTCGTCACATTTTTTAGCCATCAGACAATGTATATGTTTGGTTTTTCCCATATCTGGAAGATGTGGTATACGCAAAGGCAGTCCTGGAAACTGTAACACAACCTTAATATTCCTTGATACCCCGGTATCAGTAATGGTCTCCATCACCAAAACTAATCATTTATTTTGCTAATGAAGTTCCCAATTTTCTTGTCATGCCTGCTTTCAATGCATTTAATTTTTGTCAGTATTTTACTTCCTAGTATGTGACTTGCTTAATCATAATTTGTCTACTTCAATGTTATTTGTAATGGAGAATAAATTATGTCTTAATGATAATTGACTGCTTACTTACAGTTTTGATTTCAATGCAACGGTTTTTAACATAATATATTTTCTATTGTTTTCTTTGTTTACTTTGATTGCAATATTTCTTTTCTAAACAGTTTTTGACTAACGACATTCATATTTTAGTTTTTTTGTCAGAGTTTCTAATCATGGACACAGTTAATTTGATTTCTTTGGTAATTAAGCGTAGCAATATTCCTTTGAAAGACGAAAACCCATTGCCGTTTGAGTGACAGATATTGCTGCGGATGCAAGACAAATGTTTTTAAACTGAGCATTTTTAACTTATATGATTAAATCTGATTTATAACTTTTTTTTGACGTACATTTTCTTAATCTAACTTCCTGCTATACCATATTTTTATCAATTCACTGTAATACTTGATAGACATCTTGAACTTGACATTTGTGTTTTCGCATATCTGTGTAAGTAATGTCTGCATTCTGTCTTTTTTAAATCTTCTGTTCATTATTTAATAGGGACATTTTCAGGATACCTTACCGCTAGTTGTAATAATCATGTTTCAGTAATATTCACATGGAAAATTTCTGGAATGCCCATTCCGTGTCATAAAATATAATATGTCGCCTCATTATGAAGAGTTGGAATTCAGACATCTGATTCGTACTAAGTCAAACGCGATTTGCTTCGTTTCTCAACTAGGATGAAACTGATAACGTGTTACTTGTGTATTGCTTTATATTCCTTTCCGTGCTCTAAGCGTCTCGTCTGTTGGTATTTTCATGAAGAGTGCAGTAAACTTTAGAAACATTAGTTCAGCAATAAGTTCCAAATTTGATGCAAGTTAGTTAGCGGCGAATATTACGTCTGTGCTGAGAGTGTCTCAGGAAGCAGTTCAGTAGGGCTGAACTAATTTCAGTGTAATCTCCTTAACCCTCAGTTAGAATCTCCAGACATTCTGAATGCTAGACTAAGTTTATAGGCACAATTTCGACGAAGTATTATTTGCCATGAGGAAACATAGCTGAGAAGAAGAAGCTAATATTTCATATGAACTTGAATGTAATATGAAATGGCTTGGTCGCTCGGTCTGTTGTTTTATGATTAAATCAGTCTATCAAATGTTCGTGAGGCAAGCTTCATTGGAACTCGTTGATAATCTGGCAGTAAAAGTGGCCTACATAGTCCTTAAAGTGATGAAAGTGATAATTACTTGCGTACACTTCACTTGAATAGCTTTTGGTAGAGGTGTAAAAGCTCCACAAAGATATTCGCATACATAAGAATTGTTTCAAAAGTAGTAATGCCGCCATTAGAGTAAAAGTTATTTTGATGTCATTTTTTCGAATACCCCAACGACAGAAGCGGGAATTAAGATCTCAAGCAACAATCCGGTTGGTTCGTTATGGAAGAAATGCTCATCGTGGAGATATCAGCTGCAGTCACTGGTGTTTACTGAGTGAGTCGGACACCCCATCAAAGTGAGAAGGGTCGATTACGTATGGGTGGTGTGTCGGTCTGACTATAGATAACAGTCAAAAACGCTTACTAGCCAGAAATTCATGCACAGTAGACTGACCTGGTCACCGGGCTTGCATATTGTAATGACTGACCAGCTACAGTGGCTGGGACTTGTTTCCCTGTCGGTCCTACCATGGTATGCAGGTCTTTAAGAATAGCGATTATACTGAAGGCAGTTACCATTATATTGTAAGTCGTTTACATTATGTTTGTCTATGTGCGAAGCCTCACTGCTGGCGAATAGGGATATAACAGTAGTATAGTGCTTCCCTCAGATAGGCAGGAAGCTATGTTAATAATAATAATAGCTTTATTCCAAACAGTACTTTTGTTACAAATATGGAATTTTTAGCATGTAGTCTCTCTATTTTGAGGGGGGGGGGGTCTTAGAAAGCTTAGGGTCCGAAAATTAGGCATCCCGACTTACCTTGCGGCAATAAAGTCCCAATACAGACAACTTAAGAACCAATTAAAACAGGCCGGGTTCATGCAGTAGGCTCTGTGGTTACGCAACACTAGTGCTGCTTCTCGTTAGCCTTTTCAAGGAGGAATCAACTTCAGTGTGGGTAGCCGTGAAGTAATAACCGTCTGTCCAATTCCATAAGCACTCAAAGCTTTACTAGTATTTAGTCATCCACCTTCATTCAAAGCACTTTCATCCTTTGCTTTGCTCTCGCTGTTAGTCTCATTCTACAGATAGATCCATCACCTCTTCTGCAACTGTTAATTGCAACGAGAGCCGTAGAAACACTATTGGTAGTCTCTTAAAACCATGCTGTCAACTTCATCTCGGAGCACTTAATGTGAGGACTCTGCCATATCGAACAACAGGACTCAACGGCCAGGACCGTATGATCTCGAGCTATGGGTGTATGTTGTGTTTCGGACACACGTATACAGGACCCAAGTGTGGTTATTCGCCCAACCCCATCTGCCCAACATGGGGAACCTACAAAATTCTCATCACTTGTATCAGGTATAGGGATAACATTGAGTGCTATAGTGGAAAAATCGCAACTTGACCGGGTCCCAGCCGGTAATCGAATGTGTGCTGTCCGAATCCATCAGGAGGAAGCATTGTGATACCTACCCGTCTTTCATTTCCGACTGCGATTCGGAAAGCTGTCTAGTCTGTTGCTAAATACAGTACGCTCAGATACAGTCATTTCAGCAAGCGAGTTCAACGCCCCAGTCATAATGTATTGGTGGCCTCTAGGAGGCCGACAACGGTGGTCGTGACTTACAGTTCTGTTCAGGTAATCATATGTTCCTGATCAGTAATAACCCCTAACACAGAGAGACATTGCTTAACATGGCGATCTCCATCACCATTGACGGAGTATAACAGATCACATAGCGATAAGCTATCGATGAAGAGGGTCGTTAGAAATTTGTCGCTTTTTCTGGAACACCTGCATACACTCCTACCACGGTACATACTTTTGCACGTATACCTCTACGCCTGAATGGATATATGAAGCAGGCGAAAATGAAAATGTCACGTTCCCAATTTGATCAGAACATGAACTTTCTATTCTGGAAAGAAACAGCTCAACGCATATTTGAGATTGACACCGAGACTTTTCCTGAGGTAGTCCGGCATAATATTCAGTCAGCTGTAGAAACAGTGGTAAAGGCTGTTGATAACCACACAGCAAAGGTTAGTAAGTGCCAGTTGATCACTGTTGCTTCATCCAAATTGACCGTCGGACTCCGAACATGCTGAGGAGCGAAAGCTGCTCAAAAATAAGCTTACCAGAAGTCGCCATAGAGAGAGCGGTGGAAGACAAAAGATGGGAAGGGCACCAGCGGCGGACAACTATTTCGGTCTATTAAGGAAAGAGGTTTTAAAGGATAAATGATAGTGAAGACAATTTCTGGGGAAACAGCGCTCTAAGAATAGAAGACTGGAACGTTGGAAATAATTTGTGGGCAGTGTGACCAGCTACCTGAATAGGATGTCGACAGGTTTTCCAACTGTAACTTACGTTATAGAGGTTGTCTTTAATTGGAAAATAGTTAAAGGATCATTGCTTGACAAAATGACTACGGATATGTTCAAAGACCGATGCTGACGAATTGTTGTCTGGGTTAACTAAGGTATTACGTAATGTCTAGGAATCAGAGACAGTCCGATTAGACTAGTATAAACCATAGATTGCTCCAGTGTTGTATAAGACGAGGGAAAAGTCTTCTTGTGATAAACATCGAGGGTCAGATTAACTAATATAGTATCCATAATTGTAGGTCCAGTAATCCTGTGTAGACTAAGGGGTGCCTGGAATCAACAAACCCGGGAAAATCAGGTAGGATTTAAGTTAGAAAAAGGATGTAGCTGATAGATTCTGAAACTTAAGCACACTCACAGGCGTCCGAAACTTGTCATACTTGACCTGAAGACTCACTTGACTAAATCAAGTGAGAAGGGAGTGCCGACAGAGTATATCACATCAATCAAGGCACCTATGAACTATTCTCATCTGAAGTGATGGCAACCAGTGGTGTCTTTGCGAATGCCCACTATCTCATTTTTATTTAATTTTATCATACGTGTACTAACGGATGTACCCTAATCAACTTTAGCGACTCAGGGATTGACTTATTACCAAGAACAGTCTTGTTGTCTTAGAGTATGCGGGTGATATTGTGCACGGAGTATGTGTGGTATGGGATTCGCTACTACCAAATGTGAAATGGATGCTACAGGATCGGAGTGCACTGACTCCTGGCTTACAGATAGTGAAGTAGTAGACCATGTTGACTACTCCACTTATTTAAAAAGTTGCATCAGTCCTAATGTCTGATCGCTGACGAAATCTCAGCACGGATACAAAAGGCTGGTGTGGTATTTTCCAGGTCACGTCATCTCTGACGTATAGGCGATATCAAGTTATCAATCACAGGTTGTGCGTACTGTATACTAGTACTCTCTGTCCTTTCTTTGTGGCTGTGAGACATGGTCATTGCTGTCTTCGGTCACAGATGTTTGGGCCTATTTTCCGTGTTAAATGATATAATTCGGTGATTAATATTGGGGTTAGGCATTGAGTGCTACACAAAGAAAGGAAGTTGATCGATGAGGTTGTGAAGCTACATCGATTGAGATAGCTAGGGCACGTGTTGCGCGTGTCAAACCACCGCCTTCTTTACCGAAGACTGTTAGCTGACATAGGATTGTGTTGGAAAGTATTTAGGGGTGGTCAAATCAAAACCTGGCATTAATCCACGATGACTTAGAACAGCTAATTCTAGCCACGAAAGGAGGTGTAAGCTGCCTGGTTGGAGCGCTAAAAACCAATGATTTGAGATTCGGTGATATTACTCAATATCCTTTTAGAAGGCGCAGATGCATTCATTCATTGTAATCTCAGATACATCAAGTCTCTATGTTCTTCCTACGTTAATATTCTTCCTTCCGTACATTTCTGCTCATTTTAGCTGTTTTCTAATTTCTCTTTTCTTTACGTCCATGTGCTACATAGAGTGTGGTAGGTTGCTGCACTTCTGTGCAGAGTTCTATGTTGGGACTCAGTCAGTTAATTAGCAAATTAGTCGGCTGAACTTTGAAGCCAACATCGAACGCTAGGACTTCCATTTATGGTGGTCTCGATAGTATGCAACATAATGATACTCCATATTTGAGGTCAGTAATGAAGGTGGATTAACTCACTCTTCAGCTTTCTTATGTATACAGCATTGATCACTTAACGAGACCTAGATTAATTTAAAAGTCAATCTTGCTCATCCATAGTGAATCAACATGACACAGAATTTTGATAATCAATAGGATATGCCAATGCCAGCATACTGAAGTAAGATTAGGTTTCCTTCCTTAAAAATATTTCGAATTGTACTGACATTTCATCATATCAATTTATATTCAACTCAAATTTACACTTCATGTGGGTAATCACGATATTCGTATGCATTCACACCGCGAATAGAAATCAATGGAGTAATTACTGATTCAGTGCAGTTACTAGTACTTGCAAGTGCTATTAACCTGGGTCAGTTATATCATAAGCCTTGCTATAAAGTATCGTGAACTTCGCAAATTTATTTGATAAAACAAAGTATTGTAGATTACTGATTAAAATAGAAGGTTAAATATTAAGATATACAGCATGGGTACATTGTTTGTTCATACAGTTTCTGAATTAAACATAAATCATAATCATAAATGTATTCATTCATACAAGCATAGACGGAAAGAAATTTAAATAAAGGAATAAACAAATATTTCTATTTAAAACTAACTGCGTTTTAGACGTTTTGCTCGTACTCTTTCTCTACCACTGCTGGAGGGTGGTGTTGTAGGAACTTGTGAGGACTCACTTATAGGAGTTGTGTGTATTAGGACACTGGAATCAACAAGTTTAGTTGGTGTTGCATGTCGTCTTGGTGATAATCGCAAGTTATCTTCCGTAGTCTCATTATGCGAAATACTTTGCGATTGTACTGTTAAATGATTCAGTTCCTCGTACTCAATTTTCACATTTTCATTTTCATGTGACGGCATTTCTTCAACTAACTGGCTGACTTTTACACGAGTCCCTTCTGTTAATATTTTGGTCACATCTAAATGATCCTGTGTAAGAACAACCAAAGGGTCCTGGCACATACTATCCTCGTCTACTTTGGGATTCTGAGTCAAATTTTCCTCCTCATGATCGGATGATCTGAAAGTGATTGTTATGAAAAATTATAAACAAAGAGTGATAATAATTGATCAATGAGTTACATGCAAAATATAACATATCATTTTCAACACATCTTGATATACTCCAGTTAAAATGTTTTTCGAATTGACATTCCTTATGGTGTACCTTTAGTGACGTTCTAGTCGCCATTGTGATTCGAAACTTGGTCTCGTGGACCATACCTAAGATGATGGAATGTCTTGGAAAGGTGTCACAAAAAGTTTTACTTTAAATATCACTAACACAACATTAAACTCCCAACCCGTGAATTTCTTCAGCATCACAAAGACACTCAGATTAACAAAGGAATCCGCGCAGAAAAGCATAGGTTTAAATAGATAAACTTAAATTACCAATATGGTGAACAGACGCGAACGTAACAGGAGGGGCAATAACTGTAATCTTTGAAAAACCTATTATGAACAAGCTTGAGACATTTCAATAAGTCTCCAACCAATGATTCTTAGCATCCCGAAGTTCCAAACCCTTTAACTTACACCACCTTATTCAACACATAGAAACTACAGGTACCGGTGCGATGTGTCAGTCCGACTAGTTTTGAATATTCCTCAACCTAGTTTTACATTTGACAACAACGGTCGACCGTGGTCCAACATCTATTATACACCACAATTATTTCAGTAGATGAAAATTGGCAATTTGTCTATCTCTACTTAACATAAACTATGAAGAGTAGAAACCTATTGTCCAGAAAGTATTTCCGCATAAACTAAAGTAATCATGGTTATTTAAGTAAACAATGACTCAAAAGTTATTCTTCTGTCATATAAGCGGAAAAAGCTAAAGAGATGAAAACAGAGGACTCATTCTTTAATCAAAGAAATACTACCACCAGAGAAAATGAATAGCACACCTTAGTTTCAAATACATTTCTTCCAACAGTTTAAGCCGGCTGTCTACCCATATTATTCACAACTATTTTACAAAATAACTGTTATACTATCCTACGATTAGAGTAGAATGTGGTCATCAAGAACCCTTCGGGTGTATAGTTGACTGAACATTTATTCATCTCTATGCTGGAGAGAGAGAGAGAGAGAAGGAAATGATTAGACGTATTTATGGCTAAATTCGATCCACTATATTTCTAGAGAAAACACTTCAAAGGCATTACTTTAACCTATGTAGCGGCTTATCTGTGAAATTATTTTTTGCACAGTTGTAGCGACCTAGTTCATACTGGTTACAATTGTGCAACATCAATGGCACTGAAATAGAAACCAAATCGGAAATTAAATACCTAGGCGTCATTCTATCTGCTGATCTCTCCTGGTCGTCTCATATCTTAGCGATTTCTAAGAAAATATTCCGTCTTACCTTCTACATCAAGAAGTTAAAACATTCCGTTATAACCCACCCCTTACTCCTACAATTAGTTAATTTTCGCATTCTGCCTATTATTCTCTACTGTTCCCCCTTAGTTTTTCCCGGGCTACCGAAGAAAGACATATTACGCAGGATGTTAAAGGTTGTCAGCAGGGTAAGCAACGTGCCACTTAACCAGCTTGTTAATATTCTGGTCAAAAGGCACATGGACTCATGTGAAAAATGGGCCACATCCATTTTATCTAACTCACACCACCCTCTTCACTCACAACTCTCCCCCTGCATCTCATCAGGTAAAACCGGAAGCCTATATAGAAAACCATATGCTCGCACCAGCAAGTACAAAAACTCAACCATATCCTACTTAGCTCGTGTTCTGTGCGATAAAGAAAGCATTAGGCGTGAAACCTATAATTCATTAAATAGGCAGTAGTACAACTGGATCACATCTTTCCAACCCACTTCATCAATAGGTACAACATTTCCTTTCTTTCTGTTCCTTTTCTCTCTCTTTTTTTCCGTTGTTTCTTTCTCTCGCTTACGCCAGTAAATATGACAGCTCCTACTTTTTCTAACACCTTCAAACACTGTTCAGCTTTACCTTTGCTACCGACATGCCAATGTGTTGTTGTAATAATGAACTGAGATTTCCTTAATCTATGTAGAATTTCTATTTATTGATAATGTACTAACTGGATGCAATACTGTAGTAAAAATGCTGAGAATTCCATTCTGTATCACATGTACTGTTTTGGAATAAAGCAAATTATTATTATTATTATTATTATTATTAAATCATTGGGAATTGGAAACTGATGGATGGCAATTGATAGTCATGGCAGTATTTAAGGTTAATTATTCTTTTATGAAAAGAAAAGATGATAGTTTTTCTGAATATGCCTCCATTTTTGCTGATAAAACTTTACTCAATAAATTAAAATATAAATACAATTTACATTTTAAGAGTACAGACTCACTTTATTATACTGTCCAGTGTGAAACGATCACGAAATCTGTTGTAAAAGTCACGTATAAAACTTTCTGATTTTGTACCGACATTCTGTGCAATTGTGGCAAAATCATATCCATATTTAGACATAGCTGTTAATACGAATGCCAAATCAGTTTTTGTCCACCGGTAAGATATCTGATATTTTTTAAAATAAATGAAAATAAGTGTCTGTTTTTTACACAAATGTGTGAACTTATACGTTCAGAAAAATTAAGAGAGGGATAGGATCATGTAATCAAGTAGCTGTACATCACATACAGAACATTTTTTTCGTCAACAATTGAAACGGAATAAATACACACTTACTACTGTTACTACAGCAAGTCGAATAGTAAGAGCTTCAGATTCGACAAGCTTCTGAGTGACTTAAAAATATTGTCAGTAAGTTGAAACTTTTAAGAGAAATTTGTGAAACAAAACTTATTTTAGAGAACTAAAAAGATGTCAGTATATTGGAATAAATACTAGACAAAGTTATTTATAAGAAGGTCTGCTTAGTGTTATCAAACCACGATATAGTAATTCAGGTATTAGTTTGCAGGGATTTGATTGGTTACAGGATTTCATCATGAGGTGACATCGGTGCGTCGGTGACACAGTGGTTAGGACTCTCGCCGACCATGCACATGGTCCGGGGTTCGATCCCCTGCCGACGCACACCCGATATCTATGGTCGGCCTGCAAAATTTGGGCTACCGATATGCATGCTGAAAATTCCATACTTCTACCAAAAGTACTGTGTGGAATCAAGCTGTAAATCAAAAATAAAAAAAAAATCGGTTCGAGAACCACTGAAGAACTTCGGAGTACTGGACAGTTGTTCCGTCCTAGTTTGGGACTCTTCATCAATACGCAGTAGTAGTAGTAGCGAAATTCAAGGAATGAGCTTGAGACAATGTAACGCATCCATCGACCGACTGGGAGACCTCTACCAATAACGAAGCCTCAATTCGAACTTTTACACCGAAACAGCATAAGTACGGGCTAGTTAACAAAAGAAGTTAAAGAAGAAACACATCTGAGACAATGTGATTTCTATCTGTGAATATAGAAAGATAATCACTGAATGCATTTGTATTATTTACAGTGGTTGTAAATGACATATTATGATTGTGGTCTTTATGCTCAGTTCAACAGCAATAGTCTTTGGATGGTTGAAAATCATTTGCATGAAAATAGGTTAAGATTCAAATCACACCTGGTCAGTCTGCATACAGTACACTATTTTAAAAACTAGAAACATACAAATGATGCACAGGTATCCCGCATTTAGTGAGCACAGTGTAGTGAGACCACATATTAGACTATATAACCTACCATAGTAGTGTTTCCACCCTAATACACAAGTATCTCTTCAGATAATACATGAATGAGCTTTTTCTTTTTTCCTTCACGTTCCCCAGTGGAACAAAGGGTTTCGAGCTAGAGGCTTGAAGTTTCTGTAGCAGTGTTTATTATTTTACGGGATGGAGTTGCTAGCCTCATGCCCAACCTCTCCTCTTCACCAGCATTATTTCTGGTTTAGCGAGGTAAAGGAGTGCGTCGGCCGGGGACCGAACCCCGGACCATGTGCATGGTCGGCGAGCGTCCTAACCGCTACGCCACCGACGCACACACACACAAAACAATATATAAAATAACTTTTCTCGCTCATAAATTATAACACACTGAAGGTGCACTTTTATCTGTGATCGGATGTGAATATAACTGCGCATATATATGTATCACGTTTTTTAACTTTTATCCCCATTTTTACAATATAGTTAGGGGATTAATTTAATGAATTTAATGCTGCTACATTCGAAAGTTGGGAAAATTTAAGACAAGTAAGTCCTTTGGTAACAAACAAATTTTAACTTGATATTCCGCTGACCATGTTGTCAGAAGTAATTTTGAAATTTTTTAAATAAGTTTCGTAAATTTATGTTGAATGAAGCGTGGATGTGCAATTGTATTTAAAACAGGGAACAGTTCAGCCGAATGATGTTACGCGTAGGAGTAAGCGTAAGCGTACATAAGCAAAACAAACGCTGAACGTAAAAGTGATGATTTTCAAAGGTGTATCAGGTTACGATATAAATACTACAAAAAAGTTTCAAGGTGACAAAAAGATGTTTTAAAAGTAACAACTACCGGTCAAGAAAAGAGACGAACAATAGAAACATGCAAGAGAAGTAAAAACATGTGTCAGATATGCAGATTGTAATAAAGACTCGGGTTTAAAAAACGCATCACACTGAGTCTTTAAGCGCAACACAACTGCTTACTCAGCATATCGCACAATGACTACGATACTAATAATAGTATTCAACGATTACAAAGTATCTAAACGACCATAATACACAGAACTTGTATAGTGTGTGTCTAAAACAATAAACAGCGTGATGAGTAACTGACTACAACTAGTTTTCTATACACAGTAGTGTGTGGCAAATATAACTGAAATATTTTCATGGTATTTGTAATTTAAGATAAAAGAATTTTAAAAAATTGATTTAATATTTCATGACACATTAGAATATCAGCACTGTACAGTACATATATAAGAATATATATATACATTACGTTTATAGAAGACCGAGTTGTAAACAATTACTGACTACGAATATTGCTTTCATTTTCTTAATAGATAGCACACCAACTCTACATGGAGAAACGGATTATGGGTGAAGTAGGAAATAGTGAATCGAAAAGAAAAAACGTCAGTCGTAGGCTTGCGGCGAAGTATGTTTTCCTCAGCGATTTAGAGAGGCGTTTGCGAAGGATTTCTGCTTCAATATCACCTTTGAATTCTAGATTAAGGAGAAGTATTTTCTTTGGGACGGATTGGACTTGTTCAGAAGTCTTCTTAGGTTTGAGATTCTTGTCTATGAACCTGGGCGGGAAACCGTTTTCCATCAGGGTTTTTCGGAGATTACGCAGTTCTTCTTCGATTACTTCCTCGCTGCATATCTTCCGAATCCTCGAGGAAAGAGCGTATATCAGGTTCCTCTTTCTGCTTAGCGGTACGAAGCTTTGGAAGTTGATGAATTGTCCGGTCCATGTAGGTTTTTTGTATATGGACCTTTTCAAAGAGTTGTTGTCATTTCTTGTCAGATGGACGTCCAGGAAGTGGAACATTCCGTCGGATTCGGTCTCAAGTGTAAAGTCGATGTTTGGGTGAGCGTTGTTGAAGATTTGAAGTAAGTTTTCAAGGTCCAGCTTCTCATCACAAATGATGAAAGTATCATCAATGTATCTCTTGTAGAGATGAAGGTTGTCGATAGTTGATGATAAGGGGTTGTTTTCGAGGCTGGCCATAAAACAGTCGGCTAGGAGTGGTCCGAGTGGAGAGCCCATTCTACGCCATCTGTTTGCCTGTAGATTTCATTGTTGAATCTGAAGTAGACGTTGAAGGTGCAGCGTAGTAACAGCTCCTTTAGATAATGCATCGGTATGCTGACATCTATGCTGTTGCATTGGATGAAGTCACACAGAAAGCATATAGTTTCTGTCAGAGGAACATTGGTGAACAGAGAGACGACGTCTAGGGAGACCATCTTTTTATTTGCGAGGTTGACATTTTTAATTGAATCCACGAAATCTAATGTGTCGCGGAGGTTGTATCTCGACAACTTTTCTTTCACTGGTCCAAGAATTTCTACCAGCCACTTCGCGATTAGGTGATATGGCGAATTGATCATATCTAATATTGGGCGGAGCGGGACGTCCTTTTTGTGCACTTTGGGTAGTCCATACATTCGTGGCGATGTAGAACCAGATGGGCGAAGTTTTTCATATATTTCTGTATTGATAATCGATTCATCTTTCATTTTTTTCAATAAGTTGGTTAGCTGGAGCTCCGTCTGTTCAGTTGGATGTTTTTGGGTCGTCTGTTTTTGAAATTTGCTGTCATCAGATAGAATTGACGAGACTTTCTTCACATAGTCTGACTTGTTAAGCAGAACAATTCCAGAACCTTTGTCTGGTTGAGTTATTATCAGGTTTTCATTTGATTTCAATTCTTTGAGTTGCTTTCGATGTTCTTTTGAAAGCATATTACGAAGTCTAGGTTTTTTGTTGATATATTCGAGGCAGCAATTTAAAACAGTTGATTTGAAGTGTTCTGCACTGTCATATGAATCGAAATGACATGACATCGAAGCAACACTCGTATTTCCATGATTACTTCGCAAACTTTTAGGCATTCTGTGATTAATTTGCTTGTTTTCATTTTTCACAAATCAGTTCTTCTTTAATCTGTTTTTAACTTAGTGTTTTAAAAAAAAATTAAGCAGCACACAAATCAGATCCCATTGCCGGTGATGATAACACACCATTGGAAAAACATGGGAAGAGTGACGATAGCAGTAACAGAAGCAACGAGTTGTGTAGATTCGAAGTGCTACCTGTCTAAACTTCCCCCAAAAAAAGATGACTACAAAAATTCAACTAGTTATCTGCAAGGCTTGTTGGACTAAATTGCTTCATTTTAATAAAAAGGAATACTTAATCATTTTTAAAATTTTATTATGAATTGAAGTAATTTGCTGAATAGTGACTAGCAGTGAAATTCAGAATGTGCACTTCGTCCTATTTGAGACTCGTCACTGGGTGTACCTACTTCCGCAGTGGGTGATTGTGTTCCCACTGAAGTACAGTGTAAACTGGCCTATTTTTTCCTACTTCAGATAAAGAAGATTTAAAAGTCATACAACATTCTACAATCAGTCTTCTAATTCTCGACAGGGTTGAATTTCCTAATGCTAATAGAGGAAACTGGGAAGTCCTTCAAAAATTTCAAACTATATGAAAACGACACATTTGAAATCAGATTATATTTCGGTGTCACTTCGCCTACTTACCTCGAATTAAGTAATATTGCAGTAACTCCTGAATAAATTATGGACGGTAGATGGTAGACACAAGTTGACAATAAGAAATGGACGTAAATACCGAAGAAAATTTTATTGTTGACGATTCATTTTCATAAGCTGGATAATCGCACTTAAATTTAACAAATGATTCATACGATCAATCAGATACTGGTGAATTTTGAGGCAGTCATGTTCTCTGAGCTGGATGGTTTATTTGCGAAGCTTTCTACGGTAGGCCCAAAATACACGAACCGAATGAAAGCTTCGCAAATAAACCAT